TAAATAAATAAATTTATAATGGATACTTTAAATTATAATTAAGTGTGTTAATTTATAAGAAAAAATATTTAAAATATAAATAAAATATTATTAATTCATAATTAACTTCATTGTTATAATATAACACAATAAAATACTCATTATATCTATAATTTGTTTAAAAACAATAGAAAAATAGTATTATAAAAAAATTAACAACAAAATAGATGACTTAATTTAAGTAAATTAATTTTCAATGAAATTTATATTAAATGTTTTTATTGATAATAAAGTTGTTGTCGAGATTCACTACAATTCTTTATTAGCCTTTATTTGATTTAATTTATTACCAAATAATGAAAACGTTTTTCAGTAATATAAAAACTGGTTAAAGACTAATTATACTAATAATAAGACTAATCTAAATATAATAGTAATTTTATGAAATAAATAAAAAAAAGTGAGACAATGAAAGAGTAAATGAGTGTAGAATATATAGATAGATAAACAAATAGAGAGAAAAAATAAAGTAAAATATTGTCAATTATTGAGTTGAGTTAAAGTCACTGTTTGTGTAAATGTAATCCAAATGAATGTTATTTATCAGTGATTTATATGCACTCTTGTGGTTGTCTTTGACTGTCATTTATATGAATCACAAATGAATGAAACAAAAGATGACTCGAGAACTACATCACAGATAATTTGCTGTGTTTTAGATATTCTCTCTCTCTCTCTCTCTCTCTCTCTCTCTCTCTCTCTTTAAGTACTATATACTATCTAAATGGATGTGTCATTTCATTGACAAATATGTGATTTTACTTTGGTTTGCTTACTATATCCATATATTTATACCATAACCATATTATAGAATAATATAAATTTATTATTATATATAGCAATATTAAAATATTTATTTTTATTAAATATACTGTATTATATGATATCAAATAACTTTTAATATTTTCTTTATAATTTCAAATAACAAATTTAACAGAAAAATCAAGTATTATTTTTATATATTATGTATTATTGTAAGTATTGTATATATTATTGTACAATATATATAAATTTATATATATGGTATATATTATTTTTTAATTTTATGACCTTTAATTTACAAATAATCATTTCAAAACATCTTATTATTATGATTTATAGCAATTTATTTTTTATTATTAATAAAGATATTTTCTAATAAAAAAATAATGTCATATATATAATATATTTACTATATATACTGTATATTCTACAACAAGTAATGGTATGTAAGAGTTATTGAGAAGTAAAGTGGAAATCTATTTGTATACAACTATTGGCATCAAAAGCATTCATATAGTATTGTATAGTAATATATGATTTTATGAAAGCCATACATTCAACTGACAAGACTTTCATAAATTTTTATGTGAACTCAATATATAAGGAATATATTATTGAAAGTAAATTATTATTGATTCGCTTCAATGACTGATTCACTCAATTATTCTTTTTTTGCGTCAAAAACTATTTTACTGCAAAATCCAAATAAAATTTTATATTGAAATTAAAATAATTATAAAAACTAATTTCTGTATTAAATTGTTTATATTTAAACTATTAAATCCCATGTTAAATAATGTATATTCATATACACAAACTTTTAAATATAAGCTTAGTGTTGGCAAAAAAAAGAAATTTAAAAAATAATAGAGAAATTTCTAAAAAGTTTCTAAAAGAAATTTCTATCTATGGGATCCCYATGTTAATTTTGTTTTTCTCGATATATGTTATCATGTAACAATACATTGTATTTACAAGTAATACTTAAATATTAGTAKTTATATTTTAATTATTAATTAAAGTAAAAAATAATTAATTTAATTATCTTAAATTCTTATATATATAATAAAATGATTATTAAAATTTTACAAAACTGATTATTATTAAATAATTATAATTATTTTACATATAGGTATCCCATTTTGCATAATAGTGTTACTATTACATTATACATTATATAGTATTGAATAGTATTATATCTCATTATTAATATAGTATAACAATAAAGTTAAATTTCTATAGAAATTTATTCCTAAAAATTTTTTTAGAAACTTTCTATTTGCCCATCTCTATGTAAGCTACTGTAAAATATATTATAGTATAATTGATTTAATTAGATCATTTTTAATTATAATATTTGTTTAATTATTGTAATTATATAAATGCACTGATATTTTAAATAGTTTATAATAATTAATACTTTACTATATTACTATACTTTAATATACTATATATACCGGTAATGTATTTTATTAAATATCAAAATATATTTTAATTTTATGTATAAAAATTATCAAATAAATAAGAATAATACATAATATTTGTTAATTGTAACAATTTTGTGATATTTTATGATTCTTATAAATAATATCTTTATTTTTCATACATTATACAAATAAAATTTCAATAATACTTTGTAATTGAATTTCATTAAATATTTTATAGAATTTTGTAAACAATAGTTTAACGCTAAATGTTAATTTGTATTAATATGTAAATTACAATAATTTTTTTTGTAATAAATATTAAATTAGAAAACTATTATATAAGTAATTTTTATAATTAAAGAAAGTAACTAAAACCAGCTGAGAATGCTAGAAAGCATTTCCATACGAACTCATACTCCGAATTAAAATTTAGTATGACAAAATAAACTCAACTACTCATATGAAATATTAAATGATTCAGTATTATTTAACTTCATAAATATGATTTTTAAAAATAATTACTAATTAACTAAATTACTTTTATATTTATAATATAAATCTTAGAAAAACATTAATTACCCTATATTTAATTTTTTATATTTTTGCAGCCATTTTTTGAAAAACAATGTTGAACTATTATATCTTATTTTTGATGCTCTATACAATTCTTAACGTTAAAATTTTTACTTAAATTTTTTTTACTTTTGCCGCCATTTTCTCTATTTTCCCGAAGAGATATCAAAATTTTAATGCTGATCCCCTATACCTTATTTTTGATGCTTAATCCAAATCTGAAGTCAAAATTTAAAAATTCAATTAAAAGCGGACGGACATATAGAATTCAGATATGTACTCCTTTCAGGAGTTCGTGAATATACTAATAACGACTTAACTTTTAATTGTTGTTTACATGCGGTACAGCAGTCACTCAAATGAAATTGATTGTAGTATTTGATATACTTGTAAATATAAACTAAATGCAATTAAATACTAATAATTTATCGATTATTAATTATATAGTATATTATAAAAACAAATATATTAAAAGCAAAACAAACAAAGATTTTGTAGTAAGAAATTCCATTTATAAACTTTCTATAAAAATGTTGTCCCGAAATGAATCAAATGTTGATTATATTGATTTTTTCACATAACATAGAGAAAGGCAAAAACAATAAAATAATATAAAAATTATGTTTTTTGAATAATAGGAAAAAAGTTATTTAAGATTTTTTATTAAAATTACAATTTATTATAACTTTTTTACCCATTAATAATTTTTGATAAATTATATTTATAACTATTTCTGATAAAATTAACTAAAATATTTAGCTTAGAATGTAACAAAATTTTTGAAAATTTACTTATTAATTACTTATTATATTGTACATTTATTTTAAAGTTAAAAATTTAAATACAAATAATGTAAACTAATGCACTGTAATATTGTCAAAATTATATGAAAACATATGCCATTTTATAAAATACCTAAATGTCATAACTCTCTAATTGGGACAAATGATAATCTGAGTAATAAATTATTTCATTAATTATTATATAATAGTAGTGTATGTAATACTGTATGACAAACATTATGATTGTTACTAAAGCTTCAAACCGGTTTCGGTTTTAAATATTTAACTATAAAAATTTTATTTAAATATCTGTAATTTAATTTATTTTACTTTTATAAAAGTGATATACAATTTCAGTATAATTCACAAAAATACTTTTAGAAAGTTTTGTTTAAATCATTCATTAATTGTTTGAATAAATTACTTTTTAAACTTTTTAATTTAATTTTAAAATTAAATAAATTGTCTAAAACTATCTTAAAAACAACATCATATGAATATTGAACTATGAATTTTAGAAATTATTGTTAATGAAATTTTAAAAATAAATTATATATAAATTATATTTATGAGTTTTACATAATATTTAGCGGATAATATAAAATACTGTAAATTTAATGCATAAGATTTATTTAGTTTTAATATCTTTTTGAAATTTTTTCATAAATATAAAATTTCTTTGTATATTTGGTTTTGGTTTGAAGAGTATATAAATAAAATTTTCGTGTTTAATCTTTAATTGTTATTATATAATGCACTTCACGCATAAATGTTTTTATATTTAATTTTTTTAAAGAAGATCTAAAAATATGACATATTTTGCTTTTAATACAACTGTCTAATTAGCAAAACAAGAAGTTTACAAATCATTTGCACATAAATTGCAAAATTTATTTATGTTTTATATGCATTTTTAATAATATATATTTAAATAAAATATACAGTAAACATGTATTATATTCATTATGTAATTCATAAAATAAGATCTTATTTACAAAACTATTATTTTATTATTGAAAATTATTAGAATAGTTTAATTAAATAAATTATTTCAAATAAAATATAAATTAATATGATTTTTTATATTAATATTTATTCATAACAATTAAAAATGTAATAAATGATTTATTTGATAGATTAGTTTTTTAAATTAATTTTTTACAAGTCATATTTGTAAGTATTTATTAAAAATTAAAATATTACTAATATAGTAAATATACTATTCATAATTTATCTTATTTAATAGTAAAAATAATTATTTGACAACATTTATCTTAAAGTTATTATTGATAAATTATATTTGATTGTTTGGATTGTTTCTATATACAAATATTTTTATGTTGTCTAATTTTTACATATTTATTTTATATATCTATTTTATTTAATGTAATTTCATTATCATAAAAGATAAACTTACCATTTAATAGAATCAAAATAATTACTAAATTTACTATTTTATATAAACTATAGTTTGATTTTAACATTTTTATTACTTAAGTTTTTAAGAAATTAACATTAAATATTAGTGTTTATTTGTAACTTAAAATGAATTTATTAATGTATAAAAACATATATACATAAAAACTAAAGTAATATTAGTATTTATTAATCATAAATTAAAGATATTTATTTAAAATTGTTGCAATTTATTAGTTCACTCGATAATTAATATACTGTATATTTAATAATTATTTTTAATTATTATATTTATATTATCACTAAATAGATTAGATTACGTCAAGTGCACGGTTGGTGTTAATGTTAAAGAAAGTTTGATTTAAATTATATAAATGATATCAATTGAAAGCTTTTTTGATCGGTAATGAAAAACATGAACTCTGGAGTAAAACTACTCTCAAATACATTGCTTAAGTCAGCGATTGCTTTGCTTAACATTAACTTTATATACAGTTGGCATTTGAGTGCATAACATATTATATATACTGTATATAACATATATAACATATACAACACATACAACACATACAACACATACAACAAAGTTATTGCCAGTAAATGGATGGAGAGTTAGACCAAAGTTTGGTTGAAACACAAATAAATGACTCAAATATCTTCACTAAACTTTTGCTTCGTTTTAAATGCCAGACAACTCTGAATGTCTGTAATCGCTATACTATTATATCATATGAATACACCATTTAAAGACATGCGCCCAACAAATAGTAACCAATAATGAATTTCTCTAATATTATCAGTGTATATATATATGAGTGTATGTATGTATATACTGTATATATATATATATATACATATGTGTGTGTGTTTGTGTGTATGTACATAGAATATATGATATATATACTGTATAAACCAAGATTGGAAAAATAAAAGGTTTTGAATTTGTGTTTTGTATAATACAATGTATAACTAATATATTATTTAATAACAATAAAATTTTTAGAATAATAGAATAGAAATTGGAATTTTAGAAATTAGATTTTTATTAAATACTAAATGACCTTAACTTTTGTAAGGAAAATCGGTAATGTATTATACATTGTATTATATTGTATAATACACTTTTGGTCTGTTAACCCTCATATATACAGTATTAATATATTAAGGCTTTAGAACTTTGATCTGAAAATATATTCAAGTTTTATCCATACTTTTACTCCGTGTCCAAAACAGACGTCTTTTTCTTTATAATAATTTGTTATATTTAATGAAATACTGTTTGATTGGAATAACTATCGATTGACTCTTCAATTCTTTAATTTATTTATCACATAAACACTAACTTATAGTGTAATAGCAATCAAATATTGACAACATTTTACACCAGTGTTCATCTAAAGAGACTTTTTAGTAAATAAATATTATAATATACACATATATACACATGTGATGATAATTATATGTACATATTATCTATAATACATAATAATACATTTGTTAATCAAAATAATATATAAATAATTTATTTTTAGTAGTCTTTTATCAACTATTTTAAATAGATTATTATTTAATTTTTTGTTAAAATTTAAGTTTTTATTAATTTTTTAAAAATTATTTATATTTTGGGAAAATTTACTTAATTTCCTGGGAATTTATACGAGAACTTATGGGAACTTTATGGAATTTACATGGGAATATTTTGGAATTTAAGGGAATTTTCTCTTGACCCCCGCTTGATTTTTGAAAAAATTGCCGTTTAAAAATGCAAAAAAGTCTATACCTACCCTAGACCCCCCCCAAGATTTTTCGAAAATTTTGTAAGTTGACACCACCTTAGACCCCCCTAAAATCCAAAACCTTGCTTAACCCTGACATATAAATACATACACACACACACACTATCCCTTAAAAGACTCTGCCTTTTATATACAACTAATAATGAAATATCAAATTAGTATTGAGCAGAAAATTAACAAAAAGCCAGAATTTCATTGAATTTAATTGAATTAAATAACAAAAATATTCAACTAATTTGCTTATTTGCCTACTATTTAAACCAAAATGACTTTAATTAAAACAACACTAACTTAGGTATAGTTGAATGCAATTAATTTAGTTTATAGATCAATGAGATCTATGTTTTTGCTGTTACCGTACAGTAAGTATACTTCAAAAAGTATATTCAATTACTTTAGTCTAATCAATAATCATTATTAATTACTGTACGTTACACTTAGTTATGTAACTCATATCATAAAAACCACATTTATTGCAATTTACTTTAGTTAATATATTATAAAACATATGAAAACATATTAATGGTTTATGTAAAATATTCTTAAATAGTTTATTATTAAATATTAAAAATATTTTTGACTGAGATATATAAATTTGTCAAAATATAAAGCTATATATATACGGTAAAAATTATTGTAGATTGTTTTTTAATGCAAAACATCAAATGATTATTAATATAAGATGCAAACTAAAAAACTATAAGAGATATATAATAATAATATAAAATATATAATATATTAGACTAATTTTTTTTTAATTTTAAATAACTGCTCCAATCAGAGAATTGGCAGATATGACAAACTTTACATCAGATAAAATTTGTTACTTGATTTAATATTTCTTATATTTACTAATATTATAAAATTAAAAATAATTTTTTAAAATTTAAAACAATCAATAATTTGAGTCAAACTATATATTATAATGCCTTATATTTTTTATATTTCAATTTAATATTAATATTATATTACAATTTTACAACAATATATGAGTTTATATAAATTTAAATAATGATACGACACTTAACTTAATGAATGCTACACTAAATTTAGTGATAAGTTTTAACTCAATTCTCAAACCATTACATAAATGAGACCCACTTTCAGATACTTTTAGATACGCTTTATTCTCAATCATAACATATAGTCATAATAAATAACATATTAAGTTATCAATTATTGACTAAAATTATTTTGTAAATTTTTTAATAATTTTTTATTTAAAATTTTATTTATTTGATATAAATTTAAAAATATTTTTTAATCATTAATTTTTATAACTAATAAATAAAATAAAATTTTATAATTATGAATAACATAACTGATATTAAATAGAAATTTTAAATTATATTTTCATATTAAGAACAAATATTTGTAAAATTGCTTTAATCTTACATAAAATAAAAAAAATTAAATAATAACAACTTATATAAAAATATACACATATTAAAATGTAAGAATTTTTATGCGTATAAAAATAAGTGACATTTAAAATAAAATTATTGATTTAATAGAAAAAACAATATTTTAGTATTGACAACAAAATTCAAATAACTAGAAAAAAAACTTTTAAATTAGTAATTTCATTACTGTGTTAACCAGTATTACATTTATTTTATAATATAAAAAGTTTATTAAAGAGTATATTTTGAAAAATTGTATGAAATTGTATTGTTATAATTGATTGATTATTGAATATATAAATATTTAATTTTAAATAATTTGAATAATTATTGCAAAACTAATTAAAGCAATGATATCACACAATTTGAATGCTGTGCTATAATTAATGCATAATTAGCACATAATAAACAAAATCCTTTCACAATTAAAGCGAGACATCATTTAAGAGTATATTTGGCATTAAAAATAAATTGAAACTCAAGTAACAAGAATTTTGCATTAAAGACATCAAATGTTTTAAGACCTGATTTTTATGTACTTATCTTTACTTTTCTAACAATTTATCATTGATCTCATCAAACAATTTTATTTTCATTAATTAGTAGATATCAAATAAATAAGTAATTTATTATATTGTAAAGTAATCTATGAGTTATGCTATTTATTTATTTATTAAATTTTTAAAAATTATAAAAGTATTTTATACAAAAAAAAATCTAGTTTTAAATTAAAATTTAAAGAATCAATATATTAATAAATGTTTAAATTGAATTTAGTTATATAATATTATGCTGATTGAAATTATTTGATAAATTATGTTATATTAAATGATTTAAATGATGAGATTATAAGCAGTGATATGAGGCATAATATTGTGATCAGAGATCAGTAGTACTTATAAGTAAATGATTTATTAGAAATGAGTTACAACTGAAAGCAAACATTTAAATGATTGATTGCTAGTCTGTCTGAAACTTTTTTAAGTAATTTCATTGATCTCTCAGTAAATCGAGTGAATACAGGACTCAGTAATGACTGACAAGACATGAGTCCATAGTCAGTGTAACAATGGATTGTATTATAGATATATATCATTGATGTAGTGCTGTGTTGATCCCTGGGTTGGGATTATTAAACATTTGATATGCAATGAATGCCATAAATGCATCATATAATCAATATTTCGACAAAATTAATGAACTTAATATAAGATTCATTTTAAAAGACAAACTTTTCATTAATATTGCATTCAGTTTTTTACTTTAATGCTTATGAGTTGAGATGTAATAGACATCAAATGCTGTATAATCATCAATAAGTTTTAGATAGACTTAAATTACAACTATAAGTACAGTAAAAGCTGTTGCAAGTCATCAATTGATGACGAGATTTACCAAATAGACTCAAATTAAATGAAATTGATTTATATTTACCACTTTCTAAGCACTAGTCATTATATGATATATATTGTCATTTGTATAATATTTCTTATTTTAATTTTATCTGTAAAATCCATCTTTATTTTATTGTAACTTAAATATTAGCACTTTAATAAATATCACATTTCATTTATTTTGAAATTAATATAAAAATTTAATAAAATAATTGTTAAAAATACATTTGTTAACTACAGTATTTTGTTTGTTAAAAAACTTCATTTTATCAAATAAATCCCAAATGTATTAAAGTAACAAAATTGAGAGCATTTCTACTGTGAACTAAACGTATAAACAAACTTTAAAAAATTTGTCTGAATTATTCATAAACGCTTTAAAACACATACATTGAGGCAAACAAACCCAAACCAACTCTTTTATTTATAACCAAAAAAAATCTTATATTTATAGGACAACAGTTTTGGTAAAGGCTTTTAACGTTTAGGAAAATTCTATTAAATAATGCATTAATTTTATCTGAATTTCTTTAATATATATAATATAGTTATTATTATATTTACTTTACTCTTAAAGTGATTTTTTAAACTTTAATAATAAAATTATTATAATTTTACTCCATTGATGTTGTTTCACAAAAATATATTTTTAAAATTATAAATTATTTATTATTTTTTGAATATACTATATTAAAATGGAAATGTCAAAAAAACAAATATTTGTAATGCAATAAAACTAATATTGTTTAGTCATTTCTAATTGCGATTAAATTAAATAATTATTATTGGCATAACAGTATAGCTGAGTGTTAACCTTAAGCAACCAGGGATTCAATACATATATAGGTCTGACACTGTCTTTAACACAATATATGCAATAATTGTAT